GCTGTGGAGGTGATGGAGGTGCTCACGGTGGGATTTGACTGCTGTGGAGGTGATGGAGCTGCTCACGGTGGGATTTAGCTGCCATGCAGTTGAACCCTTCTGGTTCTGCTGACCAGCGTGCATTTAACCTACTCATCATCACCCAAGGACTGCTGTCCAATAATGCAAATACCTAGAATGCCGTCCTGGGTGATAAGTCGGAGCCTGCTGGTGTGCAGTGCCCTCCTTATTAAGAAAGATGACAGGGCCAGTGGACTCGGGGGCCAGCCTTGCCATGTGAATCAGCAGGTAAACTTTCAAGAATGGGCCCTCAGAGCTTTGGTATTCCCACGTTTGAAAGAAAAGTGCAAAGAGTGAGAGGCAAGGCCTGAGAGCCCAGCGGCCTCGGCGGGTGTAAGCAGGTAAGAGAAACGTCCCAGCAGATGAGTTTCTGAGTGACTCTTTCCCAAGTGCTGAAAATGCTCATGCTGGTCCCAAATGCTCAGGGACCCACCCCCACCCATCCCAGGCAGCTCTCGGTCCTGAGCCTTCACTGAACCTCCCCTGCCTTCCAACCGAGAGCCGTCTCTCCCAAGTCCCGGGGCACCAAGCTGACGCCGTGCTAGTCTGATGACCTGTGCACTCTCAGGGGTCATCACCTGCCAACGAGGGGCTCGTGCCATGTGCTGCAGCTGCTGTCTAGCCCTGTAGGGTCCCCGAAGCACAGGGAGACAGTCAGGGGAGAGTTTCCGATGCCAATGGGCTGCTGCAAAATAATTTTTCAAATAATTGAGCCTTTCAGAGTCTCTCAAGTCGTCACATTTGGACAATTCATGCCTCAAGACCTGAGCTTGGCCAAGGGGCCCATCCACATGGCAGAGCAGGAGAACCCTCGTGTCCTGCCCGAGATGGGCCAGACCTGTGACCTGGTGCAGCTGTAGGGCAGGACTCCTGGGCCAACCTCCAGGGACCCAGGGCAGTGCTGGGCCGCCGCTAGAGCAGGAGCTGCTGCAGGAGGTGGGTGCCCGGCACCGTCTTTTTGTACTTGGCACCATCTGCTCCTCTGCCCCTCCTGCTTCTGTTGCCATGGGAACCGGTATTGGTAGAAGAACTCCCAGGAAGGGCTTCTGGCAGACACTGGCCTCCCCTCAGCTCAGAGACAGCCTGTGAGCCGCGGCTGCAGGAGGAGGAAGCGTGGTGGACCGGTGTGCTGGCCAGAGTCCGTCTCCAGGGCCCGGGCAGGCTGTGGGCCCATGCGTTGGCTTCAGGGCCGCACCGGCCTCTCCCTGCAGGCCCCGAGTGCCCCTTCCTCAGGCGCCCCTTGTTTTCCTCCTTCAGGCCTCAAAGCAACACCATGCCGAGCCACCCTCAGCACACAGCCCTGATTTAAAATGAGCCACTTTCTACTCAGGCATAAAGACACTACCCTTTCTCTGCAGAGAGGAGGGAGGAAGCGGAAACAGCATTTGTGTACGGACAAAGGGCAAAAGTAAAGGGTGTGAAAACAGGCACAGTGGCCTTGCATCTTGGAAGGACCAGGGCTTCAACGCTCAGCAAACAATCGCCAAGCGGACAGCAGGCTCCTGCAGCACAGCCCGAGGCCTCATCCCCAGGCCCTCAGCCCAGCGGCAGCTCCGCCGGCAGACGTGGCTCCCCCCAGCACAGCTCCCCTCCAGTGGGCTGTCACGGCCACCACGGGAGCGCACAGGTGCCCTGACCACGCCGCCAGCCATCCTGTCAGCCTCTAACCCTATGGAACCCAGGGTAGTGAAGAGAGAAACCCATGTGCGGGGAAGAGAAACGCTCAGGAAACTCGGCGACACCCGCAAGTGAGCAGACCCCCAAACAGCCAGCAGCACCCCACTCCTGACATTCAGGGTCAGGGCCTCCTGCTGGATTTCACTCCCTGGCAGCTGAAGGTCCTGCCAGACCCGTTTCCACCTGGGAACATCTGGCCACACTGTGCTCTGGGCAGGAGGGAGTTTCTCCGAGGTCACAGAGCTCTGCAGGGCTCAGCCAGACTGTAGCAAAGGCCATGTGGGCCCAGAGGCTCCCTCAGAATCAGGATGCACCGGGCAAGATCGCCCAGCAGAGCCAGCTCAGAGCTGGTAGGAGGCTTCTGCCTCTCCCAATGCTCTTTTTTTGAGTCTCTCTCACGCCACCCGCCCCACACCGTCCTCATCCCCATCAGTGCCCCCTCCTCGCCCATGCCACCCGCCTCTCACCATCCTCATCCACATCAGTGCCCCCTCCTCGCCCACACCACCCGCCTCACTGACATCACCGTTCCTCACCACCACCCTCACTCGTGGCCATCTTCATCTGCATTGTCACTTGCTTGCTCACCTGTGCCATCCACGCCACGCCACCACATGGCTCCTCTGGGTGCCCGAGTGTCTTCTAAGCCATCTTCCCAGCACCTCTTTGCCATTTCCACCCCATGTTTCTCAAGCTGAAGCAAAGGAGCTTTTAAAAATGCAAACCAGACTCCCTCGCCCTCCTTGAGGACTTTGCAGTGATGTCCCATTTGATAACAGTAAGAATTCCTGCCATTTGCCTTTGAGATGATAGTTCCTCCAGGAAGCCCTCCCTGCCTTTTCAGACTAAGTCTGGGCCCTGTTGTTTGGGCAGTCCTCCATGTCCCTCTCATCGCACAGAGTCCTCATCTCCCCAGAGAAAAAAAGCCAGCATCTTTCTGGAGCACAGCCGTGGCCCTGGCACAAAGCAGGCGCTTGGAGGGCATTTATGGGAGGGAGGGGTAAGGAGGAGGAGTTCAGGGAGCTGAAGAAGGCCGAAAGGGAGGAAAGGAGATGGTCTGCAGGAGGGAGGTGAGCACGCCCTCTCTACAACCAGCAGTGACCTCCAGGAGGTCGGCAGGGTCCTCACTGCCCACTCCCAAATTTGAAACGTCAGTGGGGCCTCTCCCTGCCCCACAGATTTGCACATCCCACTGCCAGTACCTGAACGTCTAAGAGGAAGTGAAACTGATCCCACAAACCCCTGAGCACCCCCGAATGTGCTTCCCCATCTCCCCATCTCGCTAATGGCAACCCCAGCCTTCGAGTTGCTGGGCGTCCTGACCTCTGTCTCCTTTATCCATATCCACCCTCTGCAAATGGTGTCAGCTCAATCTTAGCCATAACCAGAATCTAAGCTCCCACCCTGTCACCATCCCAGGCCACGGCTGTCACCCATCCCAGGCCACGGCCGTCACCTGTCCCAGGCTAAGACCATTCCCCATCAGGATGACCGCAAGTGCTGCCTCCAGCCATTCCCAGCCAAGATGGCCCCGAGCACTGCCCCAAGATCATTCACCACATCAGGGTGGCTCCCAGGCGTGTCCCGAGGTCCTTCCCCACCAGGCTGGCTGAAGCACCCCTCCCAGACCCTGCTCTTGCTTCCTCCCTCACAGCCCAGCTGCCGTGATGTGCTCTCGAGGTGGCGGGCAGACTGACCCTCCCACACATGTCTGGTCATGGCACTGCAGGCCAGAGTCCTCCTTAGGTCGGTTTCCCCAGAAGCCAGCCTGAAATAAAGATTTGCGGGCAGAGCTTATGTCGGGGGACATAGCAGGGAGATGAGGGGGAGCAGGAAGTGAGGGGAATTGAGCAGTGATGCTGTGGGAGCAGCACGGGCCACGCAGCAGCTCAGGGAGATGAGCAGAGCGTCCTCAGAGTCACCGGAGGGTGGGGGGCTTGCGTGCTCCTCCAGCTCCCATCTGTCCCATACTGTGGGAGCTCCCTGGGCACTAACCCTGCTCACTTCCAGCCTCTGGTGAGGGGTCACAGTGCCCCAGCCTCCACGCCCTGCTGCCCCAATGTGCTGGGCACCTGCATGAGAGGCTTCCCTGCCATCCCTCAGCTGGGAGGCTGGGCAATCCGTGCAGAGGAGGTGGGAGCCCCTCAGCAGCCTCCTCAGCATCAGAGGGTGCAGGGAGGTGGCGTGATTCAGTGTCTCTAACAGGTCCTCTAGCCATGGAAGTCCCTATACATTTTGTGGAAGTCTACAGAGGATCCTGTGTGCACTCAAAACTTACTCGTGTGTTTCAGAAGCGGGTTTTACAAGTTTTGGCACATAAAGTTCTTGGCTGCA